CCCAGGTCCGCAGCGTCCACCTTCACGCCCGGCCCGTTCACCTAGACCACCCTAGCCGGTAGAGGCGCTGCTGCCGCGCCCAGCATGCGACACGAATGCGGCTGGTGTGTCGTAGGCGGGGAGAGACGTGCGAGGGCCCGCGCTCCGGGAAGAAAACCTGGGGCCCCTCGGCCAGAGAGCTGACACGGTGGGAGCTGGCGCGGGCCAGCAAGTCGAAGGGCGTCGGGGTACCCTGCTGGCGGAACGGGCCCGAGCCGGGCCGCGGGGAAGGCGCACGGCCCAGGGAGCCGCCAGCGCCCTCGTAGACACGGGGGCTGGGCGAGGGCGCGCGGTCCAGGCTGCTGTAGGCGTCCCGGCTGCAGGTAGATCGAGGTGCGCGGTGACGACGGCCGGCCCTTAGGGGACAGCGAGCTGTAGGGGAGCAGAGCCGGGGCGCTCTCCGAGCGTCCAAACGGGGTGTCTGCGCCGTCGCCGGGCGCCTTCCGGGAGGACCCGCGGCTGCCGAAGGGCTCTTGGACCGGGCTGGAGCTGTACCGGGACCGCTGGGGAGAGACCGGGACATCGAGGGGTCAAAGGAGACATGACTAGAGGCCTGGGAGGAGGTCAAAAGAGAGCATCGGAAATCAACCCAAGGCGGTTGGACCGGGGCTGGAGATTCAGGCACAGCCCCGTGGGAGCGCGTGGGAAGAGAGCTTGAAATCAGGGCTAAGGCTGGTCCGTACAGCGCTTTTGAGCTTAGAAAAAGGCCCCTTTCCTCCCGAGGGTCCTGGGAGGTGTCCGCTTCCACTGGTCCCCTCTAAAGTGCCCTTTAAGAGCCCACACCCCGCACACCCCTACCAAGCAGCCTTGCCTGCACTCCCGGCGGAAGGAAGCTGGCTTGGGGGGGGGGGGGGGCCCTAGGGTGGGGACCAGGCGAGCGGCTCACCCTAGCGGGGGCTCCAGCCTGAGAGCCAGGTGGCGTCGGCGAGTCTGACCACAGCGACTCCAGCTGCTTGGTCAGTTCGTCCACCTTGGCCGCCGCCGTGTCCAGCTCCATCTGCTTCAGGTCCATGTGCTTCATGGCCAGGGCTGGGCGGGCGGGAGTGGCGGTGAGGACCGTGACCTCCTCGTGGGGTGGGGGGGGGGGCGGCTCCACCCCCAGGACCCGCCCCCTTCCCCAGCTCACACTGGAAGTTCAGGTCCAGAAGGTCCCCCGAGCTCTGGAATGCCTCGCTGTCCATGGTGCCGGCCGGAGCGGGGCGCCTGTGTTGGGGGGGAGCGGGGAGGTTCTCAGACACCGCCCGTCCGCCCCCCCTCCCCCCGCAGGGAAGCTGGGGCCGTGAGGATCGTCCCTCCACTATGCCCCCCCACCAACTCCCCCGGCTAGGAAATGCGAACTCCTGCCAAACCCCCTGGAAGGCGCAGGACAATGAACTCTTTATGTGACTGACTCTTCGTCCATCTCTCTATTTCAGCCCTAATAAGATCTGAATAATTCCTTCAACAATTGATCACCTACTATGTGCCGGGCATTATAGCGAACAGAGGGTGCAATAAAACAGCTATCAAGCCCTGGCTACGTATCTGAGTTCGTTAGAGCATCGTCCTGATCCGCCCAGGTTAAGAGTTCCACCCCTGGTCAGGGCACAGACGAGAGTCAACTGCTGAACGCATGAATGAGTGAAACAACAAACCGATGTTTCTCTCTCTCTCTCTCTCTAAAAATCATTAATAATAATAGTAATAAGGAGCAACAACAAAAAGAATAACTATTAATTACTGAATGCCTACTAGGGACCAGGAGATAGTATGCTAGATGCTGAGGATATTTTTTAAAAAAATTTTAAAATATATTTTTATTGATTTCAGAGGGGGGGGGAGAGAGAGAGAGAGAGAGAGAGAGAGAGAGAGAGAGAGAAATATCAATGATGAGAGTAATCGGCTGCCTCCTGCATGCCCCCTACTGGGGATCGAGCCCACAACCCAGGTATGTGCCCTTGACCGGAATCAAACCCGGGACCCTTCAGTCCCCAGTCCGATGCTCTATCCACTGAGCCAAACCAGCTAGGGCTATTTTTTTAAGGTATTGATTTTGAGAGAGGGAGAGAAAACATCTACGTGTTGCTCCACCCATCCACTGGTTGATTCTTTTTTTTTTTTTAATATATTTTTATTGATTTTTTACAGAGAGGAAGGGAGAGAGATAGAGAGTTAGAAACATCGATGAGAGAGAAACATCGATCAGCTGCCTCCTGCACATCTCCCACTGGGGATGTGCCCGCAACCCAGGTACATGCCCTCAACCGGAATCGAACCCGGGACCCTTCAGTCCGCAGGCCGACGCTCTATCCACTGAGCCAAACCGGTTTCGGCACTGGTTGATTCTTGTATGTGCCCTGTCTGGGGAGCAAACCCTCAACCTTGGGGTACGCTGGCCCCGACCAGGTAGCTCAGTTGGTGAGAGCATCATCCCCATAGGCCAAGGCTGAGGGTTCCCTCCCCAGTCAGGGCACATCCAAGAACCAATCAGTGAATGCATGAATAAGTGGACAACAAATCAGTGTTTCTCTCTCTCCTCCTCCCTCAGTTAAAGTCAAACAATAATGATA